CTCATTTTGATGGTTCTATACTTGTTCCTTTTAAAAACACGACTTCAAGAAAAAAAAAATCAATGTCAATATTATTTTTTACTATTTTGAATATTTTATTTAAATCTTAATCTATTCTAATTTTAATCATATCTTATCTAATTCCATGTAAATTGTAGCTCAACAATTTAAAAAAATATTTTAAATATTTAATTTAATTTTTATTCTGTCCAAATACTAATTATATGCTATATTAACTCCATATGAACTACCTATAACTCAACAATTTAGAAAAAATAAGATTAAGAAATTATACGTAAATAACATATTATAATACAAGAAGTATTACAAAAAATCCCAAAAGTCTTAAAATTTACATACAATAGCCTTAAATGTTTAAAATTACACAAAACACTTGACTTTTTAAAACTTAAAAACAAATAGGAAATCTAAAAATTTAAAATTTGTAATTAACACCCTTAATATTTTAAAAATTATAGAAACAACCTCAAAAAGTTTAAATTATAAAAAAAAATACCCTAAAATTTAAAGATTTTAAAACTTAGAAACAACATAGATGAATTCCAAAGATTACCATTAGGCACTTAAAATTTTAAAATTTATAAAAAATAACCTTAAAGTTATAAAAATTACAAAACTCCCTCAAAAGTAAAAAATTATAAATAAATATAAAATTTCAGAACTTATAACCGGTACACATCAAATTTAGAAATTATCAATAGATCGTTGAGAATTTAAATTTTTTTTTAAAAATAACCCAAAAATTTAGTAATTGTAAAAATATCTTCAAATTTTCATAGTTACAATAAACATTCTAACATTTGAAAACTTACCACCAACAAATAGAATATGAAAATTATAAGCACCCAACTTATAATTAAAAATTTTTATAAAATACTATCAACGTTTAGAAATTGTAAAACACACCATCAAAAGTTCAAAATCACAAAAAGGCTAAAATTTTGTAAAAAAAGAGGAAATTTTTGATAATATTACATTAAGATATATATATAATTAACTTTCAATTTAAAATTTATCATCCCTTTTTAGCATCTAAAAGAAGTCTAAGTTGATGTCGTTAATAGCAAGTATCATAGGTTAAAACTATCCAGTTAATAATAAAAATTTAAAAATATATGATAGATTAAAAATTAACATTAATGTATAAATTCAAGGAACTACATATAATTTTACTAATAACATTCACTGATAGAAGACAAATTAATAAAAGACTATAATATAATATGTTAGCATTAATTGATTATAATGTATGAACATTTATCTCTAATGTTGATAATATTCATAGGATAAAAAAATTACAAGGAGTTATGTATAGAGAAACTATCAGAAAGTTCAGAAATATCAGTTAAAAAGAACTAACTTGTTTTCATTTCATATAGAGAAGTGAAGGAAATAAACTCAAAATTATAAAACATTCATAAATCACCTGAATTAACATTGGTAAAAGGCATATCTGGTAAAAAAGCACTGACCGAGTTCCCCTTAAAGAACATATTGAATAATTTTATCTTAATTAAAAAAATATTCTTCATAAAAGATACAAGAAAAATTAGAAATACTTATAAAATTTCATATTTTATTCTTGAAATACTAGACGAATCATAAACTTAACATAAAATTACGTATAAATATTCTTGCAATAGAAACTAAAGTGAAGCCATTGATCAACTATGTTGTGCGATATAACAAGATAGATAAGATGAGGAAAATCACTATAATGGAAAAAAAAGTATGAACATGATACTTAGTTACCATAGTATAAGTTAAAAAACTAAAATTGATATTTTTTTCTCTATATAGTGGTATGACTCTGCAAGTAACCTTATTTAGGGATATGACTACCAACCAAGGATAAAATTTTAAGGACGCGATAAAAGATAAGCATGTAATAGTACTGTCAGATTTCAAGATCCTTAAAAATGAAGGTAACATATTTTACAATTAAAATTCTTATTAAAGGCCACTAAACATAAAATTCACATTTATCAATCTCAAATTTGTAGGAAAGATATTCATGTCATTGTAAATTTTGTTAATAATATATATTAATTCAAAGATACAACTTATTGAAGAAATAATAGAATGATAAGTAAACCAAGTAAACATCCATATAACACTGTAAAAAATATTATATTTTAAAGCTAATATGCATGGCTCATTCAGAACAAGCTGCTAAAACAAAAGTATCTCCATCAAGGCTCTTTATAAATACAATACAAATTTAAATTATTACTTTTTTTTATAGAATAACTTATTTTTTTGTGTAAAATCAGGAATTTTTAGAAGGAATTTCCATGAACTCTTTTAATGTTTTTATATGGATATGTGGATGCTTTTATCATGAACTCTTTTTAATATTTTTATGTGGATGTTTTTATCATGTAAAAGTATACTAGAGTTAGCATTAACATTTATTTTATGATTTTTTTTAAAGTCTATCAATGATTAGCAACAAAAATTATATTCTATTTAGTTTCATTCTAGTCCACTTTTAGTTAATCATATTGCCTTATTGGTTTTACTTATTCATCTTTTTTTTACAACTCTATTTTTCCAAGTGTTTTTTACTTTTACAGCATTATACCTTCTCAAATCAATCTTGACTTCATGTCGATCCAAATAACGTGCAAATTCAAATTAGCTTTAGATTATATTTATTTCTTGTCAAATGTCGATCCAAATAACGTGCAAATTCAAATTAGCTTTAGATTATATTTATTTCTTGTCAATTCAATTAAAACGTGGAAATTTTAAATTTGAAATTCAAATTAGCTTTAGATTATATTTATTTCTTGTCAATTCAATTAAAACGTGGAAATTTTAAATTTGCTGTTGCCCATTAAAACAAACATTAAAGAAAATAAATAATCATAATACTAAAGTTTAAAGACATAAGTGAGCGAAAACAATAAAAGTAGAACTGGTGAAAAAAATTTAGTAAAGAAATACATCAAAATTACTTAATCATAGTATATAATCACGTGCATTATACGTGCATAAAACCTAGTAGACCCAAAAGTCAGACGCATGCGGTAAATCCACGCGGATTGCTGACTTGGAGTACATTGAAGGGTAATTTTTTTGGTGATTAAGGTTAGTTGAAGCATGTGAAAAGCACGTGCTCCTCGCTCTTAATTTCATTCAAAATTAGGTCAAGAAGTTATGTTAGGGCTTAAATCAAAGTTTTTCCTTTTAAATTTCACTTAATTTACTCTAAATTTATTGAATATTCAGCATTATTTCCTCTTTAAGTTGAATCCCAAATTCAAAAAAAGGTAGATTGAATCAAAGAAATGGTGATGGGTTCAAGAAGCTCTCTTTCTTCTTCTTTTTCCCGACTGCCATTTCATTGATTCAATCCACCTCTCTTTAAATTTGAGCTCGAACATAAACAGGGCGTGCTAAATATTTAAGAAATTCGGAGAACATGAACGTAATTAGGTCAAGAAGTTATGTTAGGGCTTAAATCAAAGTTTTTATTTTTTTTTCACCTTAAATTTCTCCAAATTTCTTGAATATTCAACATATCTCCTCTTTTAAGTTCAAGCTCAAATTCAAAAAAGAGACAGATTGAATCTAAGGAATGGTAATGAGTTCAAGATGCTCTCTTTCTTCTTCTTTTTCTCAAACATCATTTCATTGATTCAATCCACGTCCCTTTAAATTTGAGTTTGAACTTGGAGAGAGCGTGCTAAATATTTAAGAAATTCGAAGAACATGAAGGTAAGAGGAAACTTTGATTTAAGACATAAGCTAAAGTTATTACGCTGATTTTGAATGAAATTAAGAGCGAGAGGAGCACATGCTTCTAACGGGCTTCAAGCAATCCTAATCACCAAAATGACGTTAAAGTAAGCAAATACACTGGAATGATTAAAGGGGTCAGGAAAATATACTAATCTGATAATTTTGCCTTCTTCAGTAATATTAGTACTCGATTAGTCTCTTGATCTTAAATTTTGACTTTAGTCCTTCAATTCGTCGAAACTTGTAATAGGTCCCTCGATGCTTATTTTTTCTGAAAAGCACGTCTACACACAAATACAAAAAAAAAAGGATAAATCTCTGGTTCATTTAAAACCTAAATCCTCAAAAAAGGGAAATATCTTTTCTCTTTCAGTAGTGCTTTATAAAGTTTAACAATTTGATTTTGATTTTTTGTATATAAGAGTTCTAGTAATATATATCTCTAAAATTTTAATAAGAAGAGTAAGTTTACAGGTAGCAACCACAACTGATCTCAACAACCACAGGGTGGAAATAGACCTCATGATATGTCAATGGAAAGTGAAAAGGATCAAAAAAGGAGATTCCACTAAGCAGAGAAGTACATACCTAAATAATAGGTGAGATGATCTGAGCTTGAGCTCCACTAGATCAACAAAATGACAAAGTAAGTTATTTTAGGAAGCTTAATTGAAAAGTTACAACTTCTAAATAGTTTAAAATACCTCACCATGGATAATCCGGATGGTTAAGAGATTTCACCACAGTCTTAGATTCAATTTCAAATGCGTTATAAAAAAATGTTCAAAATACAACTTATATTGACTGGTTATCTACTTTCTTGTATATCTAAATTTGTATTTAGGGACAATTGCTTCCATTCTCTTGAATTTTTAAAAAGGTGATATTACTTAGAGTCCCATATATTTTAGTTACTAATAATCCCCATTGGAGAATATTAGTTGGAACTAAATTAAAATGTAAATCTTTATCAGTATCATGCTTTAATGTTTATGTATATTGCACATCCTAGGTTAAAATAAGGACGAGAGTTATCGTAGGCAATATCTAGTCTACATAAACCATCGTCGATTTAGATAATATATAATGAATCCTAATAAAGAAATTAGATAATATAATGAATCCTAATAAAACAAATTACAACGCGATGGAGATCCATTGGTTAGTTGCTCTAATCTACTCCTATATACTTATAGGAGGATCAAAAGATTCACTATTCATACTACATTAAATGCTACGTTGAATTCCTGTAATATTATTATTGTAGCTATATACCGTAGCATTTACAAAGAATCCACTGTAGCAGCAAAAAAAGAATTATTGTAGCAAAATAAAAAAGGGTCGTGTTTTGCACGTGCACACTAGTCTATTCATCTTCTATAATAATGGGGGGATCTAAGATTTACTATTCACGCCACAACAAATTATTTGCAGTGTTATTACTGTAGCACAGACAAGAGGATCTAGGGTTCACTATTCATGCAACAATAAATTATTGTAGCATTTATTACTATAGCACATGCGAGAATGTAGCGTTTAAAAAACATTACTGTAACATTATTATTGTAGCTCAGGTGGGATACCATAATTTTTTTAAAATGTTACTGTAGTACTTACGAAAACTATATTTAAATACAGAATTACTGTAGTGGAAATTAAAAAGTGGAAGTCGTGCTTTGAGGGTTGCATTCTGTTCGGATACGGCTCGATTATGACACTTACCATAACCATAACCACTTTCTAAAAACGAATACAGATACGGTTCGGATATTCATCGGTAAGGAAAAAAATTATCATATCTGCATTAAACGGAAACGGATACAGTTCGGATATTAGAGAGTCGGTTACGGATATGATACAGATACTAATCAGATATTTGGGAAATATATATGAATAGGATATGACAAAAATACATATGATTTTAATAACTCGCAAAGTAAGATAAGTTACCTCATAAATTTTGTTGCTATTATGTATGACAAACCTCATAACACCATAGCATGTCCTAAATAAAAAATAAAAAATATTGAATACCAACTAAAATGTGATAATCAACAACTACAACTAACATCACAAACTGCAACTTACCTTAAATAAACCAGTTGATGTCCATATGAACTCATTCTCTCTTTGATTCATAGAGTTTGTATCATTCTCATGGCAATAAGTCACATGTTATTGACAAAAAAAGCACGCAATAAAGTCATGATTTGAAAATAATAGGCACAAATCCAGAAATAACAAGTCACAAATCCAGAAATAACAAGTCACAAATCCGGAAATAAAATCACGTACAGACTTAACATGAGCAAAATCACATACAATAAATTAAAAACCTTGAAATTAACCACTATTATTTCCTTTCCACATTTGTTTGGGATTGCTACAGTTTGAAGGTTCGTGCACTATGCCTCGTCGTTATCTTCTAGTGAATTGGCACTCTTAACACTAGAATTTCGGGCTAAAAAAGAATTGAAATCTTCATGTAAGACTTCCTCACATGCCGTTGAGATTTACATCAGTCAATTAATAGCCAATAACTTAGAGAAACAGAACATGCGGAATAAATTTAGACGAGTGAGGAATTTAAACAAACAGGGAGAATGCAAAGCAAAAAATGAGTACCTTTAACGACCTCCCACATCATATTCCGAGGAGGCATCGAATCGCCGGTGTTATAGTACTTCTACCATCAGTCATTGTTTATGAAGCCACCGCCACGATCAGGGTCAAGGTTATCGATAGCGAATAGCGTCGCGTAGCGGTGAGGCATCGCTAACGCTATTTGAGGCTATTGCGGAACAATAACGGTAAAAAATGTAAAGTTAAATAGCGGTCTAATTTAGATATGTATAAATACAAAAAAGAGAAAGATTAAAGAAAAATCTAAAATTACATATTTGATGATTTAAAGAGATCCTAAATATGAAATAGACAAGTAACCATCATGTAATATCGAAGATGACTGGAGGAGTAAAAGAGTCGTCGTCTTCGAGAAGAAGACCTGAGCGGTGAGAGGACTGCCTTAAGAGGAGCTCACGGTGAAGGAGGTGAGAGGAAGTACTGAGACAGGTGCCAGAGGCTATGAGAGGTGACGGGAGTATGCTGAAAATCACAGAAGATGGTGGAATGCATTGGTCAAGGACCGAGTTTAATTTAAAAAAAATAAACCTCAAACCGCTTTTAAATAGTAGTCAAAAAGCAAGCGCACAGAAGGGTCATCAGTTCAGCAGTGTCTGTTCAACCAGAGCTCTCAGCTAGACTAGTCCATCTAGCGGGAAGGTGATCAAAGGCCGTTCGGAGTGCTTTAGCGGCTTCAGGTTGACGAAACCTCTTTTTTTTGCATACATCAAACTTTCCTTTGAAGGAGACTTACCTTTTTCGCTTATCAAAAATGGTCGATCCAAAACTCTCGTTGTCTTCCCACTTTATGGAATGAATTCGATCTATCGATCTAACAGAGTGCTTTCTGCCAAAGCAAAGAGAGCTATAGGCGGTGAAACCCCTGGCGATAAAGAGAGTCGAAAACTTCTCAAATAAAAAGAGGTAGGAGGAATCCATGGTAATCTTTAGCGGTACCATCTTGATTAGATAGCGAGGTAGTGAGAGAGGACTCACTCAACAGAGGTCTCAGTTCCTTAAGGTAAGGCTGAATCAAAAGGGTAACCTCTTAGCGCAAGGGTTGGTATAAAGGCTGGTGAATGTGCTTCTTTCATCGAATTATGAAACCAACTTTCACCGGTCGCGAGATAAAAGACCGTCGAAATTTCGCATGTAATCGTCCACTATTTACCGTTATGGCACACTATTAGCCGCTTTTACGAATGGAAAGCGCATATTCCGCAATATGTCGCCGCTATTGAGCGATAGCGTAGCGGGAAGGGACTACTAATGCTATTAGCACCGCTATTGCGGGGCTATTTACCGCTATTTATAACAGTGATCAGGGTTTTCTCACAAATCCCGAGAGCTCCATTTGGAACGATACGCGTTGGAGTTGATGGAGGGTTAACGAGCGATTTTCATAGCCCAAGTCTTAGAGGCGGAGGCGGAGGTGGAGGGGAAGCGCAGGCGAAGCGGGAGGTGGAGGCGGCTTGGAGAAATAGCAGATAAGAGTTGAATTTGGGGGTTTTGGGTTGAATTTGGGTTGGGTTGAGGATAACATGAGTATATGTTATAGACCCGACCCAATACAAATATTATACTTAGTCATTTCAAATATTTGGATATTCGGACCGTATTCGCAATTTTGACCCGATAACCGTATCTGAAACCGTATCCGGATAAAAAATCTAAACCGTAACCGTATCCTAAACCATATCCGACCGTTTTTAATTGTTTCCTATCATATATATTTTTTAAATGGATACGATTACGGTCGGTCTGGATAAATGTGGACTATTTTGCACCCCTATTTGGACGTGGTGCACACTGTGACACTGGTAAGATTCTAATAAAGGATCAATTTATGCCAAAAAAGTCAGCTGCTTTTATTTCCCATTCGCATCGTAGCTATCGAAGCGGTAACCTTTTCCTGCGGAGCTTTCTAACCTCTTTTCCCTCGCCATGTCCGCTGACCAGACCGATCCAACTATAAAACCGCCCAAATCCCCTCCACCCTCCACAGCACCCAAACACGCTACAACCAAACCATCCATCAACACGTGACCATCAAAATTCGTGCAGGAACCTCCTATCCGCTAGACACAAATGTTAAACTCCACGTGTACGGTGAAGCAGTGGTTTTCTCGTTGTTCGATGTATCGACTTGTTCGCCTATTTTAAATAGGCCGGCTGCGTGAGTCTCCCACCTTCTCTCTCTCTCTCTAAATTTTCTCTCTCTTAAAACTCGTTATTCTCTCTCTCTAAAAACTATAGTTTGACTTGGATCACATTTTCGAATCACTAGGGTAAAACTCTCGCTCGATCTCTTGAGCTTTTTGTTTTGGTGATCAAAATCTGTTACATTGTGATAGTTTTTGTTGCTTTTTTCTTTGAATTGATGTGATTTGGTAGGTACAGAAATTTTACTTTTTTTTTTTTACTTTTTGGATCGGTTGGTGAGAGGAGAAATGGATTTGATTTAGGTTTAGGTTTTGCTTTGAATTGTTGTTTTAAACTGAGAGGCTGGGCGATTTTTGAGAGGGCAGATTTTGATCGCTATTTATGGACGAACTTTGTGTTCTAGGGTTTAGATGTTGTTTTTGGGAGTTTTGAGTAAAGCGGGATTGTATTACTGCGATCTTGGTGATTTGGTGTTGATTAAGCTGTGTTTTTACTTGGATAATGAACTCGAGATACAAAGTGATGAAGAACAGAACAAAAGGTTTGATTTTTGATATGTTATGATGAAGATTTGCTGCATGGCGACTATATTACGAAATTATTTATCGAAACAAATGTTATTGGTGTATACCAAGTAAATGAAAGCAGTGCAATGCTGCGTAGTTTCAAACATAATCTTTGTCAAAGAAGTTTTAAAGCATAAAATTGAGTTAGCATTGTGTTTTCTTTTGGCCATTGTTTTTATTAAGTATGTTAAGGATGAAATAAAGGAAATGATGAAGGGTCCCAATTAATGATTTATGTGTCTACTTCACGAATGTTCAATTCATACCTTTCTGTGGTAATACACTTTTATCAAATAAGTCAAAGTAAAGATGCTGGGAAAACGTTTATGGACATGATTGTAGAATGTTAACCCGGCACTTGATGAAAAAACATGATGTGAACTGCGATGTTCATAGATTTGGTGCAAATAGTTCTGTTATTTTATATTGTATTTGTGATCTTCATTCTGTTGTCTTTAAGTAAGGAGTTCATTTATCGTCGTTCTTGATAGAGTCTACTAAAATTTTAGTTATCCTTTACAGGTTGCAACTTTCTTTCAGAACTGTGCTACTCTGAAACTGAAGTAATGGCTTTTGCTTCATCTATTGGTAGTGTTGCTTTCATTAGTCCACAACAGCAAGGTTTATGGAAGGGGGATCGGTCACTGTTCAGTCTTAGCCACTCACGATGTAAAATATTTGAGAGAAATGCTAGGTCCAGGTTCCACTCTCTGAATGTTAGAGCTGCTGCTGTCAAGCCTGAGATAGATTTTACAAATCCAGACTGGAAAAAAGCAATACCAGGAGGATTTTGATAAGCGGTTCAGTTTGCCACATTTGAAGGACATCCTTGATGTAAAGTCAAGGCCGACTACTTTCTCGCTGTTAGCAGGTAACCAAAGCTATATTGAACTGCATATTTCTTTTAGTGTTTGTGTCTTTGCTTGTGCTGGCGTGAATTGAGTGGGTGCAACCCCCCCCCCCCCTACTTAGTTGAATATGCTCAGGGAACAGAAGAGATGGCCGGAACATTTCTTCTGTAATTTTCATGAATATCACCCCCCCCCCCCTCTCTTAGTGGAGCATATGTAATAATATGCATCTGTTATGACGATACACTTTTTTTTGACAGAGGTCCCCTAGAAGATGGCAATGGTGCACCGCATGAGATGCAATTGGGCTATGTGAATGATGATGACAGAGCACTTCTAAAGGTCTCTCTCGTAAAGATATGGAAAATTCTTGCTATTTCCTTAAATAGTCATCATTTTATTTGATTTAGTCATTTACTTGATAATACACACTTGGAAAACAGGAAGAACACAAGTAGTTTATATATCTTTCCAGCGGCTTCCATTTGTCTCCTGGCCTAATTATGAATCTGCAGAGCAATTCCCTGTCAAAATGCAGGGGTCAAAGGGTCAATTCACTTGCCTCCTGTGCTATACAGGTTTAGCAATCAAATGTTTCATGTGGGCTCTTCATATTTGGCCACCACTTGTCTCTTTGCTTGCAATTACTTTTCGCCTCTGCACCAATCTATCTTTATTCTTCAGGAATCAAATATTATTAACCTGATAAATCTTTATCGGAGTTAAAAGATTTTAGAAACATGTCCTATCCCAGTGCGGATATTTGGCATTCTTTCATATGGCGAGGTTTCTTGTAGGTGTAGAGACATCTGAAGTTATGTGTTGTAGTTACACAAAGCAATTCACAATAGATTTATTAAACTATAGATATTGTTTACTTCTGACTATAGCCACATCAAACTGTTATAAGGAATAAAAATTTTACGAACAATATACATTTCTATTAACTCTGTTGCTTATTATTTACATTAAAACTTATATGGTTAAACTTCCACTAAAATAAATGTAAGCTCACCTTGGAATAAGTTTTCTGTTGTAGTCCAGGTATTTTGTTGTTATCTTTTTCTTTTTGTTCTATGCTGAAAAGCAATGACCATTTATCTACTGCTGTATATTTCTTGTCCTAATACTGTACGGGCTTTCTATTTTTAAACTATAGTACTTGGTTATTATGATCCAATTCTACTGTTAGACTCTAGCACTGGTCATCATGTTCCATTTCTCGTTTTAAACTCGTTCATAACCTCTGTTCTATTTGTTTCAGGTTATAAAATTTGCTTCACCAACTTCTGCTGGAGCTGAGTGCATTGATCCTGAATGCAGCTGGGTAGAACAATGGTATTGTAATTATAAAATTAATACATTTTGGGTCTAGTATAGCTAGTCTTTTCATTTCTATAGCATTGTTGGAATGATGGTCGTTATGTCTTGCATACTTTAGGCAATCACTCTCCCCATGTGTCTTAGTCCTTTCCAATCATTGACAGCAATTGCCTTCGATTTACCTTCTAAGTATGCCAAAAAATGATCCACTAACATTTAGTGCTACATCATATGGAATAAACTTGTAATATGATAAATTATATTCTGCATAGGTCCAGTTTATTACTTGATTGTGCTTTAAAATTGCCATATTCTCTTTCAGCAAACTCTGTCATCTTACCTTTTCTTCTAGATCAGATAAATTTAGAGACTTGCTCCTTGGTTTCAAGAGCGTAAGCTCCAAGACCACAAATCTCTAGGTCTATCCACCATGTGTCTCATTATTATTTTGGCTGAAATTTTTCAGCCAACTAATAAAAGTTGATGCCGGATTGACTAGTTGTGAAGACTCGGTCAATCCTTTTTGAGGAAATTTCCTGACTTAGGATTGTATTAAAGCCGATATATTTTATGGGAAGAGGTTTATATGACAGGATCCTTAATTGCTCTATTTTAAATAATTACCTTGCCTGAGAATTTGGCACCTATTAATAGGAAGTTGACAGAGATGACTGCTGTAAAGTCTTGGTCTATCCTTTTGGGGAAATTTCCTGACTTTTGGTTATACTCTACAGCTTATTTTATGGGAAGAGACTTATATAATGATGATAATGGACTTTTTTTTTGCTGCAGGGTGCATCGTGCAGGTCCACGCAAGCAGATTTACTATGAGCCAAGGGAAGTAAAAGCTGCAATAGTTACTTGTGGAGGCCTATGTCCTGGTCTAAATGATGTTATTAGACAGGTATAATTTTCTCTCATCTTCACTAGTAAAATCACCAGGCACACGTTTTTTTGCCTACTCGTCAAGGTCGGATATTTTCTCTTAACTCATGTTCTAGAATCAAATTCTATATGTATCATGGACAGTTAATATTTATAGAAACGCGAATGATCATTTTTTGCCACACTATAAGCATACTGAAAGTAGAGTTTAGTTTGATACCTGGCATTTAATGTGGGAATATGAAACCTTTTCGACATTGCATCAACGTCAAGTACATAAATTATCTTGACAGAAGCTTTAAGTGTCTCTTCATGCCTGAGTTGCATCATTCACATCGGTGATGCACTGTGGGCATTAGTGATGAATTATATTGATCTAGAATGTCATCCACATGGTGCAGCATCACTGATTGGTATGTAAGCTCAATTGGCCACTCTTCTAATGTGTAGAAATGAATTTGTAGCTGAAGAACTTAATCGCACTGGATGATATCTTCATCTGACCTGCAAACCTGGAATTCACTGTCTCAGCAAGTCTTAAATAATGTGAATCCATCAAAACTATCATTCTGTCACATTTGCAAATATAAAAAAGACATTCTACTAAGGCCAGTTAAAAGTGTGATGCTTTGTCTCTTTACCTGTCAAACACAAGGATTATTTGCGAGAGGTCACTTCTACAAATTAGTATGGGTTTTAACTGATGACAAGGTAACGTAAAGCCAATCCCGATAGGCAGTTTTAAACTTGCTATGTTAATATGCCACAATTCTAGCTACATGAACTCAATGAGAGGCTGCACTTTGGAGGTGAATATTCATGATTTAAATCATTGTCCAAGACCCCAATTCTCTTGGAGATTGTTTGTTAGCATAAAGGTACGACAAGGTTATTTTCATGACACTCAGCAGTGGGCATGTGATTTGCAAGATTGTCCCGAAAGATCTCACTAGTGAAGCTCAACGTTGCAATGTTGGGTGGGTTTGGAAATGCATTCCTGGTGCAGGTTGATTTTTGGTCAATTTTTTCCGTAGCACTGATCTTATTCCAATTCAATTATTTCTAGCATATTGCTAGTCTAAAGACTAAAGCACAACATTTCACTAAAACGAGATTCCTTGGTTTAAATATAGACCGACATGTCGGCCAATGTGCCGGTTGACAACATTTGCTACAAAACAATATGATTTATCGTTTCGTCACTTTTTCAGCACTATATCGTGTTTTTTCCTGATATATCTCTGATACATTGAGCGACCATTTTGGCCTAAAAATTGACTGACTTTGCACTCACTATGGGTTTTATTTTTCTTAAAGATCGAGTTTGAGTTTTTAACTCAATTAAACTTTGAACTCAAACCTGTATCCGCTAATGCCTAATAGAAACACTCATAAGAACAATTAGGCTCAATTAAGCTCCAATTCTTTGCAAGAGTGTTGCAGCTCTTGCAGTTCCCGACCATCTGCCTTGAGGTTAACTGTGTGCTGCGTTGTTGTCGTAACCATGTCATCACCATCGATTGTTGCCTACTATAAGCCCCTCCTCTTCTCTACTGCTTGATACCAATAAGCTACCTTCTGCTCCAAAATGTTTCACTGTTCTTAACTCTTCCCATTTTCATCATGGATATTATGTTAAGAACTTCGGCTTTTGAGATTTGAGAAGACGTAGGATTTATATATGAGATAGGTTTAGTCCTAGCATAATACTCTTAGAAATAGTAGTAACTTCTTTAATAATTTCAAGGTTTAAGCATAAACAAGACGTGAGCACATTTTGATTATAGTTCCGTTCTTTGACACATAAAGTATGATACACACATGCACACTATCCGATTTGACATCCTGATATTTATTTATTAAAGAACCCTGATATTTCACTATTATCTGCTACCAGATATAGAACTTTTTTCTCTTGATCTGGCACTCAATATTTAATACCTTAATGAGATATGCAGTTTGTGAGCCATACACACAGATATGTACGTATGTATGTACATACGTATATACATGTTGCACATATATTTACTTTTTCTCAAGTGTCAAGACCTTAGCTGATATGTCTAAACAATAGCTACATTGGCTTATCAAAGCAAATCAACTGTGTAATGATTTTTTTCGTTGTGTAATGTCTTTTCTCCATTCAGGATGAAAGGCAAACTGTACTCATGTCATCTACTCCTCTCTCTCTCTCTCTCTCTCTCTATATATATATATATATATATATATAATAATTCATATTCTATAAAAATAAAGTTTTAGTCTCCGTTTTTAGAAAACAACAAAAAATTATCCACAGCACCGTCTCGACATTCTAAAATCAATGGCGCAAACCTCACGTCCATCTAATCAACAGAAAAATTATTAAAAACACCTACCTAACTCACCTACACTATTCCACCTACCCCCCTCAACACATTTATAAAAAGCCCCCCCGCTCTCCTTCTCGACGAACTCCACGGGAAGAAAGAGGGGGGGGAGGGAGAGAGAGAGAAGAGGGGAGAGAGAGAGAGAGGGGAATTTTGGCTACTTGAAGAGAAGGAGCGGATAGGGATTTCAATTACAAAGTTCAATAAAGACAAGCTCATCTTTTTTAATCCCATCCCAGTTAATTTTAATTCTGATGGATTAAACCCTAAATTGATGAATAGAACTTTAGATGCAAATGAACTAATGAAGTAAAGACTTGATCTTGATAAAATTTGATAAATAGAACTTTAGATCAAATTCCTAATTTATGAATTACTATTCACCATCGGCGTAACTGTTCAATGTAGCATCACTGTTCACCATCTGTGTTACTGTTTACAGTCGGTCTCACTGTTCACCCCCCGGTGTCACTATTCACCACGTTGTTACTGTTTGCAGCAGTGTCACTAAGGATCCAAGAGTCACTACCCATAGTGCAACAAATGCTACATTGGACTACTGTAGCATAAAAACAGGCATTTTAAAATACTGTAGCATTCACAAAACTGTAGCATTTAAAAAAGAATTACTGTAACGGAAATAAAAAAGGGGGTGTGCTCTGCATGAGGTGCACACTAGTTACTTATTCTATAATAACATATTCTATAGTAACATTTTCTTATTTTTACAGATAGTATTTACTCTTGAAAAGTATGGGGTTAAAAATATAGTCGGAATACCATTTGGCTATCGCGGATTCTTTGATGAAAGATTGTCAGAGATGCCTGTAAGAACACTTTCCTCTAGAGTCTTTTGGATGAAAGATTAAGTATATGTCCATTTATTTTAATTGTCAGTTTGCTCTTTTTTCGTCTGTAGCTTTCCCGTCGAGTGGTGCAGAACTTAAATCTAAATGGCGGAAGTTTTTTGGGTGTTTCGCGTGGAGGTGGTAAGGTTGATGAGATTGTGGATAGCATTCAGGTATTTTGGGTTTTTGGTTCTTCCTCGGTCAATAGCAATTTTTATATGCATTCTTATCTAACTTTTATATATCCTTATGATATGATTGTTGAGTATCTCAGGCCAGGGGAATTGATATGCTTTTTGTACTTGGTGGAAATGGCACGCATGCAGGGGCAAATGCAATTCATAATGAGGTACTGTTGACATTTCCTTTACCTAATACCTTCTTTTTTAATCTGGGAGTGCTATGCAACACAGTGGTAACGGAAGTTCTCAGTAACACAGTGGTAACTGAAGTATGCAACTATTACATCATGCATGATGTACAGGGTTTGAACCCACTACTGCCAGCTTACTGAGAAGAAAGGATCTGCGTAATAGTTTTCTCATTTTGCATGTTCTATGAAGAACTATAGTGATTGGTGTTTATAAATGGCAAAGACTCAAGCATTTGTGCAAAGACAATAGAGTCATAGAAACTCCTGGTACAAAATCAATATTCGCTTATTAGGAAAGAAACGTAACATGAAGGCATGAATCAGGAAGTTTTTAGTATCAGCTTGATGTTTTGATTTTAATATTTTGCGGAAGCCTAAAAGAGTACTTTCTTGCTCAGCATTAATGATCAAGGAATTTAGGCAAAGGTCAATTTAGGCAAAGGTCATGATGTATGAAATTAGTACTTCTGTCATTCTACATCTGTTGTATTTTTCTGTGTTAACTTTCTTTGTCGGTCAGATCAAGATGTTTCAATTATCACTTGATATATATGGATCTTAGCTGCTGCTTCATGCAGTGTAACGAGTCTCAACTTCCATATGACTAACCTGCTAACATAGACCTTTTCTTTGTGTAGTGCCGCAGGAGAAAACTGAAAGTTTCAGTCGTTGGTGTGCCAAAGACTATAGATAATGATATACTTCTGATGGATAAAACATTTGGTTTTGATACTGCTGTGGAAGAAGCGCAACGGGCAATTAATTCTGCATATATTGAGGTAGTTAATTGACAGTTCTCTTGCACATACTGTATCTCTTTACTGCTTCAGGAAGAAAAGAATCTTTTATTTTGAAGGCTATACTACACTGGAACTGGATCTTGTTAATGATTTTTTTTTTCTTACTGAATATAGGCACACAGTGCTTACCATGGTATTGGACTGGTGAAATTGATGGGAAGAAGTAGTGGGTTTATAACCATGCATGCGTCACTTTCTAGTGGGCAAATTGATATCTGCTTAATCCCTGAGGTATGTGATGATCATCTTTCACTTATTCATTGTTGTTATTACCATGGTCACGTGATTTTCAACGGATGATTGGTTCATTCTCATTTCATCTCCAATTGAAGGTTCCTTTTAAATTAGATGGATCATATGGAGTTTTGCAGCACCTTGAGCATTTGATTAGAACTAAAGGATCAGCAGTGATTTGTGTTGCCGAAGGTGCAGGACAAGTGAGTGAAATACATCCATGATAACTTACATAGTTCCCTTTGCTTCTTATTCTTCTTTTATCTCTTTGTTTATTTATGTGTTGTACTACAATTCGGAAGGTGCCAATGTGGCTCCAATGCAAAATCCACCCTTAAAGCTTTGAAAGGGTATATAGCATGCATAAGTTGAGCAGGCTATTACATGGCAGACTCTCTTTAGAAGTATTATTCTGTGTCTTGGGTTCTCTACAATATAAGATCATAAATAAAACTAAAACCAAGGGTTTTGAGGATGTTCAGAATGGCCAGGATGTGGCTTTTAAAGGGACTTGTTTTACTTTGGGGTTGGATTCTTCATGCTTAGCATCAACTGGTGTTATATATCCAATGATGCAAAATATTTTGGTTAATGTATTTATATGAGCATAGTAGCGTTTATTTTTCTTTTCCTTTTCCATGTTTTAGGCCACACTATGTAGTATATGTTGTAATATGCTCAACAATTGTTTCTGTTTTGTCTCTCAGGAGTTGCTCGAAAAGTCCAATGCAACTGATTTATCAGGAAATGTGATTCTTAGTGATATCGGTGTCCACATCCAACAAAAGGTTGTTGTCTTCCTATATTCATATTTTTTTAAGCTAAATTTTTAATAAAATGCATAGCAAATTGCACATTCTCAAGTTTTGAGCCTCACATTTGCAAATGGCTAACCGGCAGCATGACGAAGTGATAAGAGGGTTTCTAGTTCGAAACCAGCAGAATGAAAATGGTGGATGAACGGTGAAATAAGTTTGGGACTAAAAACACCAGAAAGTGGAAAGGGGCTTCCCTATTGTTATCATTATTTTTTCCTCTTTCCCGCTCATTACTTCTAGGGCTTCCCTATTGTTATGTTCAATCCCCTTGATCATTCCATGTCAGGCGTAGCTTCTATTGTTAGTCCTGCCATACTAACACATCTTAATCGAGCCAAGTTAGTGAGAGTTGGGTTTCCCTTTTTAACAGTGAAATATCTCCCTCTTTTCCACCAACTTTTAACTTCTACCAAGTTATGCAATTATAAAGATTCATGAGAATCTTGCTGAATGACCATCAGCTCGACCGCTAATTTGTTGTCGATCATTGAACTCTTTACATTTCTGGAATTACATAATAACTTAACATGAATAGCAGAGACGGAGCTCTTTTACTTCAAAACTACAGGCTTCAAGAACTGAAATGAATAAAATATGCCCATTCTATTTGTTTATATTAGAAGATGAGGGAAGTGGATAGGGAAAGGATATGGTTTCCACATTTTAGTGTCTTGATACAGTGGATAACATCCTGATTTTGATTTCAAAAAATAAACAGTAAAAAATATCAATTAATCCAGAGGTGTAAAAACTCACTTGTTGCAAAACCCTGTTCTTTGCAAACTGTCTCTCTGATGATTTCAGATAGTTGTTTTATTTTTAGTGTCTCTCTAACAGATCATGGTTTCAGTAATCAGATTCTCATTCTGCAGTTATTTTCCCAGTAGAATTCTGACGTTTTTAGTAGTTCTTTCAGTTCTCAGGATGACCCCCTGATGTTTGCTTACAGATCAAAAGTTATTTCAAGGGAATTGGTGTTCATGCCGATGTGAAGTACATAGACCCAACCTACATGATACGAGCATGCCGGGCTAATGCATCAGACGCCATCCTCTGCACTGTACTTGGTCAGAATGCTGTAAGATCACCGCTCACTTCCCTATGCGTCTTAAAATTTATCCCTAGGCTCCGAATCATAATTTGATTAAAAACTGCAGAGAAATGAAAGCAACAATATGATTTCTAAACTTAAAAATATCATGCATTTTTTTTTGGTTCCCTTAAGAGTGAACCCTTGTACTGGAATCGTCATCTGCATCAGCAAAATCAGTACTGAACAAGTTTAACGCGGTGAACATTCGAAACCTATTGGCTTATTAAAAGATACTTTGTAATGACAATATATTTGCAAATGCATATAATGATGTGTATATCTTTCTCACTTTTCTTTTTGGATAATATATGCATGTCAATTTTGTTCTTTATCTTTTCGCCAGAATGCAAGTACCATAAGACCTTCTCCCTTTTCAGATATCTCATATCCAAAGATTTAATTGCAGATCCAGCCCTGTGCTGAGGGCGTAACCACTTATATCCCCTAAACTATGTTATTAGCATTCACATTCCATGAACACCAGAAGGCGGTATGTTCCCCGTTTGGTTGGATATCACATTGAAATCACGTGACTGTCATGTACCTTTCTTCCTCAGCTTAACTAAAACAGAACTAATTCGCCCTCCAAGTTAAGGGAAAAAGGTAACGCTCTTCGAAGTTGGAGGGTGTAACTGGTAATAAAATGGTTATGGGGGTGTTGGAAGCTACACCACCATAGTACTGGGGGTGTATTGCAAATAACCCGTTGCCAAACCTATGATGGGGTGATCTCATTCAAGCGTCACATGCTTGATGAACGTTAAAACTGTAAACTATACATCAATATTTGATCACACATGTTATCTTTTATCGGTATTTTAACTTGTGTTAACGTTGTTTTCTCTTCATATTTTATCGTTTGTATTATGTAGGTCCACGGTGCATTTGCAGGGTTCAGCGGCGTAACAACAGGCATATGCAACACTCATTATGTGTATCTTCCAATCCCAGAAGTCATTGCAACTCCAAGGCAGGTTAATCCAAACAGCAGAATGTGGCATCGGTGTTTGACTTCCACTGGCCAGCCTGACTTCCTCGATGAAGTGAACAACACCGAGATTGCCGACTTAGTGTTAGATCCTAACTAGGAACATTGCAAATTGCAATTGCAGCAAATCATCAGGAAAGCTGCTGGTTACGTTACTTATACAATTACTTATACAACGATTGGCCAAATTGGATGGTCTCCGATTGGAATACAAGGATTTTGAATAAGGAACCACCTCCCATTCATTTACAAATTTGTAAATTATTATTGATTTCCTCCAGTAAAGCCGTGGGAAGTACAATTCACTGATGAGGGGTGGATAGTGTTATTTGCCCTGAAGAGAAAATAAAACTCGTGCTTGTAATCGAATATATAGATATAATATAGTTTTTAATGTAAATCATGAATCAAGTTTAAATTGTGCTCATCTTGCTTCTGCCGACTTTCAGTACGAGCTCTGTGTGCGCACGCACGAACGACCTATTATCACGTGGTATGTTTAGGAGTAATACGTATGAAACTCATTTAACGAGTAAAGGGGAAAAAAAAGGAACTACATGTGTCTCGGTTTTAAGTTGATGATTGCATTGATTTATACACTACTTGTACCGATACAATGACCTGTCCGTGTTGATATATTAACTATTAGATTAATTACAGTTCGGTACCTTGAGATATGGCGTAATTCCACGAGTGATCTCGGAGTCTGTGTATCTACATTGGTAATTTTAAGGTCACTAATTGTAATTACAACGGTAATCCTGAAATTGCTAATTTGCAAACTCGAGTCACCCCTGTAATAACACCATACCTCAGGTATCATGTTTTCCTTTAGAAAAATTCTTTAATGACCCAAAATATGGGACCAATAGGGGGGACAAGTGAGGTGTCCCCCTCCTATTGGATAATGAGTTGGTCATCATTAATGATGGCCAACTCATTATCCAATAAGAGGGGGACACATCACTTGTCCCCTCTATTGGTATCATATTTTTGGTCCCTGTAGCAAAGCTCTTTTCTTTATCCATATATCCATGCCGCCTAGAGAGCCCTCAGTAGATATATTCTTTTTCTCCATACGGGGGTACGAAATTTTACGTAGCTTTTTCGTTGATTTCCCTCGAGAAAGTTTTTTTGTTTTTCTTTACCCCTCAACTTTTACTAGATTTACGCTGGAGGCCTGAATCTAGCAATCATGAAATTTCCGTAGCGGGCATCCGATACAAGTTGCACAAGAGCTGTTGTTTTCCGTAAAAGAAAAAAGTAATGATATGAGAATCTCAGAGGATACACGTGAACATGTCTCCATTATACGAACTAGCTAATAATGCCTCACTTATAGTGAAGTAATCGGTGTAGATATAATACAATAATATACCAATATAAATGCGATGCATGCCACTGTAAAAGTATGTAATTAATGCAGCGGCAATGTGAAATTTAAACCCAAGTGGTAACGTAAAATCATAGGCGTCGTATTATTATGATATTAGGCAAACGCAATAAAATCGATTCATTGAGTAATTTGCTTTCTCGCCATTTTGTTTGGGGTCCGTATCTATGAAATAAATCATTTAATGTTACCACAATCTCTCTAACATCTTATAGCATCTCCAACAGCTTCTCTAAAATTTTCTCCAAAATAAGGAAGCAAAAGTCATATTCTTGAAATTATTTTTACACCAACTCCAACAGCTTACCTATTTTGAAGAATCCATTTTTCCTCCAAAAATTTGGAGAATGATGCAGATTTGGGAAGTTTCTCCATTTTTTCTCCTCCATCCCTATTTTAGGGAATGAGATGGAGAATCTGTTGGACCAACAACCTAACTATATTCTCCAAAAGTAATAAATGGGGAAGCTGTTGGAGATACTCTTAGAGCATCTCCAAGAGTGATATTAGGTTTTTCCTATATTTGAGAAACAAATATCTCATCCTAGAAAATAGGGAGCCAAATAAGGAGTAATTGCTCATACATTGCTCCCCAAATGACTCTCTATCTCATGTCTTAGATCAAATATAGGGAAAGTATGAGGGGGAGAGGGGAGGGGGAACATGGGGAGGGGGGGATTGCTCGCGACAATACAATGCTTCTTATGTTGAGACTAAATATAGAGAGTCACTTTGTTATCCTTGATTTGGAATACCAAATCCTATTCCCTATATTTAGTCTCCAACACAGGGAGTCTGTTGGAGCAACTTTTCCCCTTCCTACCCCCTATATTTAGTCTAGGATATGAGATAGGGAGGCTGTTAGAGATGCTCTTATGACATTAAATAGATTGCTTCACTTCAAAAATATGGGGCAACCCCCTCATGTTTCTTGTAGTAACAAGCCTCATGAAATTTTAGGCCCGGCACAGAATCTTAAGTATATTGTGTTGTTTGACAAGGTTAAGAGAAAGAGATTAAGAATCTTTAGTATATTGTGTTGTTTGACAAAGGTTAAGAGAAAGAGATTAAGGGGAAGGATAAACTTAGTAAAGTAGTCACGAAATGTTAAAAATAATTTTAATTTTGTTTGGATTTAATAGTCAAAATGAAGAGTTAAGTTTTAAATAAAAAAGGGTTAAGGAGTTTAGCTGTCATAAATACCCTAAAGTATATATTATATTTTTAAAAGTTTCATTTCTTATTTGCAGGAGCAATTCTTAACCTTTCACTTTAGGCAGATTTGTCAGCCCATCTAAATGAGGGGTTAACTGACTTTAGCCTTTTAACCAAATTAACTTATTTAGATAATTAAGGAGAGATTAAAGCCCCTTAATTCTTCTCTTAACCCATTGCAAAATGAGGCCTATGTTTTACACTTATATACCATCACTTGTTTTTAGCAGCATTTATATACCTAAAGCTTTTAAGATTGTCACTTTGATACCTGTATCTATCTATACGTGAGATTACTTGAAAATACTCATGTGACAACATATTAATATTATAACCTTTTTAATTCTTATTTTTTTCTAAATTTATTGTTAAACATACTTCAATTCTATTTTAAAATAGAATCAAGATAGGTTTAACAATAAAATCAATAAAAATAAGAGTTAAAACATTTCTTAAAATCAGCGTAAAAATGTCACGCAAGAGTTTTCAGCAAAACATTCTCACGCCTGAAGAATGGAACCGAAAGTATTAAAGTGACTGTTGATGTCTGGAATCACACAGCCAATAGGGGGGAGGTTGTCTACCGAGGGAGAATGATAAAGGATAAAGTGGCCGACTCCCCCTCCGACTTTATGCCTAGCTCTGAGCGCACGGGGTGGACTGATGGCCTGCACACACAAGGAACGTCGGGGTACAGGACGTGTTTCCCCTGTGATACCTCCGACGGTCAAGTTAGAGGATAAGTTTGAGGGAGGTTTTGGGGAGAGTCCCTGGGCCATTGAGGTCCATGCAGGGTACATTCTCATTTTAGAATTTATTTAGAAGCGACTTGAAGAAAAGAATGACTTCTTAGTTTTTTGAGTTCAAAGAACCTGAGTCCCCAAAAAAGAGAGCGCTCCTCCTGTCCCCTTATTTTCCCTTTCTCTTTATAAGCTGTTGAGGATAGGCACGTGGCTTCATCAGGGGTCTGAGGACGATGGTGGGGGATGAGCTGGAGGCTGAGTCAGCAGTAGTCCTTTCACGTGTCGGCTGGCGACTGGAGGAGATACTATTTCGAGATGATCTCGATAAGGCCCCAGGATTGATTAGATGGCGTATGGCTGAGAATACGACGAGGTGCTGCGTCGCCCTTATCTTTACAGATGGCGGTTAGTGATTGGAGGGCGAGGCATTCAAGTACAGAAGGCGCCTCGATAACGTCCCAGGTTTGATGGATAAGAATAAATGGAAGATAGGCTGACCGATCTAGCCACTCATTGTTTCACAGATGTCAGCTGGCGACTGGAGAAAAGGTCGTCTGAGCTCAGAGGGTGTCTTGATTACGTCCCAGAAGTGACTTGGGAATAGAATGAGCCGTCTTTGAATTTAAAACTTCGTCAGAGTTTGAGACTTTTGATGTGACTGATAAATACTGTGGTTGATTGATGTGTATCTTGGAAATAGCTCAGTTGGATGACTCGGATCTTTATCTTCACCAGCATGATTGTATTGGAAGGCGGGTCGTTCTCGTAACTTGTTGACTAAATAAGTGAGTCGTCGGTCTAGTCAGACAGCTCGGTAGACAGCCGAGTCGCCACTGGGGGAGTCGTCTCGATTGGGAGTTGGGTGGACTCTCGCGAGTAGTCGCCTTAAAGGCGAAGGGCCGACTGCTTCCGCGCTTCGTGTTGGCTAAAGCGTTTGGCTTTTGGCTAGGCTTTTCAGCTGAGTCGATTTGAATTGTGACTCCATTAAGCTCATGGAGACAATCTTCTAATCATTTTCGTTGATAAATGGTAGATTACCATAACACACCTTTATGCACCACTCGATCCAAATTGACGGTCAAACAGCCAAGGATCTCGACATAGCGGACCCGTCGAGTCGACATCTCCTCATGCCGACTCGAATGGCGGTACTAGTCGATCCTCTTATCGAAGA